CATTCCGATGTATTTTTTATATATTTGGGTTTTCAATTTTGTAACACCTTGTTTGTTCTTCAGTAATACTATCCTCCAATATTGACTATCCATGGAATCATCCTCTTCCAGTCCCCTAGCCCTCATTTCTTTCCTGACATCCTCCATCTAGTTCAAAGGTCATTTTGTTTGGAGGGACACCTTTTTGTTCCGCTATACCCTGTGAGAATACCAATTTTTTTCCCGCCGTTTATCATTCAATTTTCCATGTCTCTTTTCCTGTAACAAAGATATTTATTCTCATCTCATGGTTCTTAAATGAGATCTTTGTGGAACATCCAGTCCTCTGAGCTGAGACAGATGAGTTAAAAGACATATTTTCTTTTTTTTTGATATATTTTATAATTTTTTTGATATTGGTCCCATTTTGCATATACTTCAAGGAGTCTCCTCATCATAAATTCCATATCGTACTCATTCGAGGATAAGACAACCTGGTTGTTTGATTTCTATGCATTGAATACTTGTCAAAAATAAGTTATCTTTATCTATGTATTTTGAAAAATCTTATTCACATATCACTAATATCTCGAGCCATCATGTTATTATTTTTCAGATAATTGTTTTGTTCTGTGACTTTCTGAACAAAGTGGTGTTTCATTTAAAAATAAAAGTTTTAAAGTTAATTACTGATTTGATCCAGAGCAATATATTTTATCAATATCAGAAAAATCTCAAATCTTTCGTTTTGATCTATTTATTGTATTAAATTTTTGATAAGATAGTTTCAACAATTAATGATATAAAATACATTATTGTTTCGAATTTCATTATTCGAATAAATTTAAATTTATAATTAATACCCATTCAACTGTAAATGTTATAGAGCATCAGTAAATTTAATTATAGTTTATTAAATCCGCAAATTTGACACCAATACTATCTATCGCATTCCTCATATACACCCATGACTAAATTCCGCCCAAATCAAAATATGTAAGATGAGAGCTAACATTACAATTCCTGTACTTCATTAGTTTACCCCTCATTTCTGTGCTGATTTGTTCATGATCACATGGTTAGTTCTGCATTGTGATGCAATCTAAAATTTCTAATCTACACATCTTTTTTGATACCAAATATTTTTATTATAAATTTATTTTTAAACACTTTTAGACTTTGTTTCTGGCGGGGTTGTTGAAAAAATATTAACTATTTAATTATGAAATACTTACGTGCATCCCTTTGTCCGAATAGACGACTGGAAATAATTTTTTCTTATTATTTTCTTCATCATTTTTCTTTTCCAATGAACTAACTTTCTCACAGGAAGAGTCTTGTTCTTTGGTTGAGTCACCGTATTTTCGTATTGACGGCTTACTAAGAGCTAATACTGATCCATGACTTGCTTTGTTCAAACATAGCTGAGATTTAACTTGACTGAATTAGTTTTAATCATTAAATGAGATCAAAAAAGTTTATATTTTATTTTAATTATTTAAAATTAATAAATATTTCATTGATACCATTCATGTATTACTATAATTATTATTACATTTATATGAAATAACACATAATGATGTCAAAAATGTTGTTTATGCTACATGGTTTTTCCCCAGTTACAATCAACTTCTTAATGCCTCTTATCTTAATATAATGTTTTTTATTTATATTTATTAAAGCACTATATTTAACTACCTGGTCTTAACTTTATGAACGGATTTCATAGCTATCAGCCGAGCTATGCTCATTATTAGGCAGGCAAGGAGAGGTCAATACAAATAGAAGCTTAAATGTATAATCATTTTGGGAGCCCTCAACACACAAACAAAAAAAAAAAAAAAAAAAAAAAAGGATGACTAATAATTAAATAATGTCACTATTTAATTTAACATTTTGTTTTTGATTAAATAGACAATGGGCCATTTGCATGCAACCAACCCATACTGTTACTGGTTTAATCTTCAATAGCCCTTATGGTATATTTACATAATGCTCTTCTTCTAGTCTGGAAATATCGCCGAGAACAATAGAATAACAATGTGGACACATTTAAATTATCTAGAGTCTTGTATGTCAATTCCTTAAGACAAGAAGGTATGTCAATTCTTTTTTAAAGTAGAGGTAATATGGAGTTATCCCTTGGCAAGAACAGAAATGAAGTTTTTTTTTAATCTGACAAATTTTCAATTAAAAATAAATATCAATGAAATATTTTGTAAAATATCTAAATTTGACCTTTTGAATTAGGATATTTTAAAATATTTTTAAGATGCGATATTTTGTTGATCATTCTGTGATTCAGATCTGATATGTGAAAAATGTTTAAAAGGCAACTAATACTCATGAGTCAGAGGGCCCAATCAATGAATATCATATGATTATTGCTGTTTATTTGGTTTCATATCCATAGATACTCTAGCCATGGCAGATAGAATGGATTATTTTAAGTTTTAAGGCCTCATCTGAGGGTTCCAAAAGAAGAGAAATACATACAATTTTATTAAGCTGGCCACACCTACAAGCAGCCCATCCAAAAGTTAGAAACAGGATCTCTTGGGAAATGGTTGTGCAATATTATGTGTGATATGGAATTAACACACCAACAGGATACGTGTAAAACAGAGGTTGACTGTCCTTTTTTTCCAGTTGAAGAAGGCGTGGGCAGCCCACTAGATATCAGATAAAGTCAACTTGTCTGTGAATTTCTTTTCCCATAAGCATTTGAGGCCTTGACCTACTATTGTTTGCCCCTTTTTGCCTTTTGATAACTCATTTGATTTCCTTTTGAAACGAGGTCATTAGCAAAATATCTTTCCACTGGTACTCTAATGTGGCCGAGTATTTATGAACCTATTTCTATCACAATGAGACAGTCAGGATGTGTTCCACTACAAAACAAAAGTCTCCACTCTCAGACTGTATTTGAACCAACACCACTTTCAATCAATGCCTTGGGGTGTCCTTGACAGGCTCCTACAATGGTGAGGTTTCTGTATTGTAAGATGGAAAATAGGGAACTATACTTGCTTATTAAGTAATATTTGTCTCTGTTAGTTAAATAATTTATAGATTACCTTTGTAAACAGATTTTTTGAATTATTGTTAAGAAATCTATAATTTTTTTTACAATTGTGTTAATTATTTATGACGTTTGTTCCACTTTTCTGTTTCTTTTTTTTCACTATTTGTGTAGTGATATAAGATAATTTGATCACCCTAATAATGCAGTACATGTTTGTATGATCTTCATAATTAAATTAATGAAATAAATAAATAAGAAATACCCTAACAAAATGTACAATTTTATAAATTGATTGAACACTGACTGAGATAACCCGTTAATTGGGTATAAAGAGAATGAGGCTCGTGGGATTGACTTTTATTTTTGTGAAGTTTGTTTATTGCAGATTCAGTGCAAAACTTATATCCATTTTCTATTCTATAAACTAACAAACCAGTAACTTTATCTATTTCTTTTATTTTTTCTACTAGTCATAAATATATATACATATTCTATTGGAACCTCCTAACTACACTCAAAGGAAAAGTATTCTCATATTTCTTATTTTTTTTCTCAAATGTATTAATCTACACCTTTTATCATCGTAAAATGAAGTAGTGAAATATCTTTCAGAGAACCAGATGTATTTTAAATAAATCAGAAAGCCTAGGTAGGTTGGAAAGAATATTTCAGGCTATGATCTTCAGTAAGGTAATTTGACAAGTAATAATTAAATTTAAATGATTATTTTATTTTTAAATTTTGTATTATTTATTAGATTAGTAAAAGAAAAAAAATGCAAATCATTGATTTATTTATAATTTCAAACAATTAATATACACTTAATTTTATATAATTAAAAATTTGTAGTATGACAAAGGGTTTGGAACAGGTAACTAAAGCAGAAAAAAAAAATTTTCACGATTATTAAACTACAGGAGTTGTATCTATCCACTTAAGTCGTTTTCATCACATAGTTATTATGTATGACAAGTATATTTACTTGTTTATTTTTAATACAGTTGTAAATCACAATAAATTAATTTCAATTTTGAAATGTACGTTTATTTATTACTTTTATGCTATCTTCCTTTATTATACCTTTTTAGAAAGTTCATATTTTTAAATTATGATGAATCATATGAGTTATAAATATTTATTTATAAAGTAACATTATTCATATAAAATTTATGATTTACCTTTCAACATACTTTAAATTCTATGATGCATAGATTTAATGGGAATGTGAACTCAAACAAAAGATAATCTAAGATTCACTGTTCATTGCATTTCCAAATTACTATAACTTAGATATTTAAAAAAAAAACATACTTCAACCACCTGCTCACAGCCCCAAACCTCAGTCTCAGACAGAAACTGTTTATTTATAAAAGCATTCTTTGTCTTCCTCTTCTTTATGGTGGTTTATTACTATTCTACTTATCAGAGAATACAAGTAAGGAACTACAGCAATTTCAAATTTAAAAAAAAATTGCTGAAAATACATCATTTGAAAAAGAAAATGCTAAAAAACAAAAAAATAGCCAAAATTAGATAAGTTGATCGATCAACAGGAGAATGTTACAATTTTCTGATTTCTTAAAATAACTAAAGAAACATAGATTCTAAAAGCCTCAAATTCCAGGTTTCTCTTTGGAAATCGTGAATTATAATAAGATAGTCATTAGATTGATTTAGAGAAGATCAAAATAGAGGGAAGCCTCATCAACCTGATTGTCAGCCACAAAAATAGCAAGATCCAAACATAGGATTGAACAGAAAAATCGTTGATAAGCAAAAGGAAATATAACTGGACACCATTAAAAAAAAACAGATGGACAAGAATTATGAAGAAAATAAAAATAAAATATAAAGATCAATGGATAGAGTAGCAAAATAATTTAACCCACCTGTTTGAGAAATAATTAAAGAAACTAATTGTGGTTTTAAATAAAAGGTTCTATCCTGCTGGGTCTTAACTGATGGTTTGCTTAATAAAAGATCTTATTAATTTTTTATGTTTTTATTGGCATTACTGGTCGCATTCATATGTAAATTTTCTGGTGTAATATACATTTATTTACTCCTTTGTAATCTGAAATTAAACAAATAAACTTATGTTAGTCATTATAAAATGCATTCTTGTTTATTTCATATAAAATAACTACCTCCTACAAATTATCCTAAATATGTAATTATAAGATAATTGTATCTGCAAAGGTATCAAGTAGGATTAAGTACTGATTGAACCCAGAAAAACTATTGATGAAACCAGAAAAAACTATAACCAATATTTTTCTCCATCTATTTGTTTGGTAGCCATTGGTAACTTTGTTATACCCAATTTAATTTGAACTAATAATCCAGTATATTAAATTTTATATTTTAAAACATTTATAATGACTAGAGTTCAAATTTTTTTTTTATTGACACCGAAAATTAAAATGTTTATCCATTATAAGTTTCTACTTTTGTTTAAGTGTGTGTGTGCTCTGGTGTACGTGTGTGTGTGCATGCATTTTCGGTTGGGTCTACAGGACTAATAGATCTTTAACTGCCTTACATAGCCTTCTCCACATCTTGTTTTTTATTTTATTGAGTCTTGGGCTACTGCTTTTCGGTTTGTGGCATGAAGCTCGGCAACATCATTGTTTCATGTCAACTTCAGTATCTTCCTGGGAACACCCAGCTCAGCCGTGACCTTCTAAAGACAGTTTCTGTCCACAGAATCACAGGCTGCTTTGAAGTCAATAAGTGAGGCTTATTCATCCTGATCTACTTCTCATTGTTTCTCGAGATCCTGTTTTTAAATGAAGATCTGGTCACCTTCCTTTCCTGCTCTTTCTTCTTGATTAAGAATTTGCAGGAAATGTTCTATCAATATGAGGGGAATGTTTTCTTTTGCTACCATATCTTCCTCCTATTTACCTGTTTCTTGGTTTATTTCCTACAATTTCTTTCCTTAGGTGTGTGTAGAATCTTCAGGCTGCCAGTTATCCTCAATTGTTTATAGTCTTTCTTTGTGGAATTATCTTTTTACAGGTCTTGTGATTTTGTTTTGTTTCCTGGTGGCTGTGTATTTTTCCAGTCTGGCCTCATTAGTTTTGACTTTTATTTTTCTTCTTTCCTCCACCACATTTTATTAGTTTTCCTCTTAAACTTCCTAAGCTGTTTCTTTTAGCTCTATCTCTAGACAATTGTCTCTAAGTGATGAAAACCGTGAAACTAGTATACAGAATAAAACAAAAGTATAAACTTTTTATTTTTTAGTATAAGAAACTCAACAATAAAAGAAATATTGATTATTCATCCATCGTAATTAGGCTTTTTCATTTTTCAATTTTAACGTTTTGATGCACCGGAATATGAGGATATTTGGGTATTCTAAATTACTTCTATGGTTAGAGATTATTTTATTTTATTGTTTTCAGGATATATTAAAAAGTTGACATAGTAAACTGGGCCAATTTTTGGACTCACTGACAAAAATTGAGTGAAAACACACATTTGAATTTTATAGTTTTTAACAAAACGTTATTTATACAGTTTAACCATTCAAAGGTTGTGACTGAAAAATTAAAATCCTTACTTTGAATGAAATTTACAGTTTAGTATGTTTTAGCATACAATTGAATCATATATTTTTTTATAGGTTTTGATTGACCCTTCATTGAGGTATTTTTACAAAAATAAAAAACTTAGGAAATAATAAATTGCTTTTTTCCCTCATCCTCCAGTGATTTTATTGTACAATTAAAATATATGCATACATTGATACTTTTTCCTTGTACTGCCAAATGACATTTTAAGGTAGCAAGAGAATAGGTATGAATGTATCCGTAAATGTTGTGGCACAAGGCCTCGTTTACGTTAAGCAAGGAGGAGTTTTTACAAATACAATTCTATATTTGCTTACACTGTTTTTAAGCAGATATATCATTTAAATTTCTTTGGAGGGAAGAGGGTAGATTCATGTGTCATTGACCTCAGGGAGGATGGGCACAGCTGAGCTTCACAAGTCCTATTTTGACCCATTTGAGTTATTAATTTCTCGTTGTTTTTATCGTAATGAATAACTATGAATGGATTTATAATTGTATGAAAGACTTAAACTGATAATGGCTTGTTTGTTGGTATTAAATAAAATTTGATGGAAAAGATCACCATATTGTTTCTTACTTAGAGTACATTACTCTAAGACAGTTCTATTTTATTATGTATCTTAGAGAATGAATACTTTGTGTTGACATAGTTAAACATTTTTTTCTACTTACTTTAGGTATAAGAGTAGGTACAGTAATGGTAAGGGTTTCCGCTTTGAATGCAGATTTGATGTTGGCCACGTCAGAATTGGGGGGCACCTCGTACCTCCGAATGACGTGGCGCACGTGGAGCCCGCCTCCTTCCACCTCCGGAACCGTCACGGAGCTCTGCCCTTCCACCACCAGCCAGGGCCCTTCCACCCGGACGTTTATGTCTTCCTCTTTAAAGCCTTTCATTTCGATAGCTATCTAAAAAGTTTTAATAGCGTATCACAGCTCTCATAGAGAAATTCGCTCTTGTAAAATTATCTGTTTGGCTGTTTTTCTGCTCCCACTCGCTCTCCTTAGAAAGGAATGAGGATTCGGAAAAGATATTAATTTTTAATCGATTCTAATGAGTTATATGCACTATCCAATTAGCTAAAAACAGGACCGCCGAGTGTGTTTTTGAGGTCCGGGGCTAGAATATACGGGGAGCCCCTCTACTCCATTCCAAACGTACCAATAGTCTATTATCCCATGTTTAAATAGAGAAAGAAAGATGATAATAATATTTATAAAGGCTTAGCGAAACCGAAGTTTCGATGTCAACACCACCAATCGCAGCCTATATCCTCCCATCCAATGTCTCCGAGTTTTTGGCGCCCGGACCGAAGTTATATCAGGCGCCCTTTCCCTTCACATCCCTCGAATTTGGCCTGTAGTATATTGTCTTATGTTTACGGGTTATATTTATTGTACACTTAATTAGACTTTTGTATTTCCGTTCTCGATCTATAAATCTATAGCCAGCTTGTTGTATATAATTTATCTAACAACAGCAAGTGGAACTGAGGTTAGAATTAATTATTCCGCTAGCCGTGTATGATTATCTAAGGAAACATTTAAAAGAATGAATTAAAAAGTATAAATCGGGTAGAAATAAGACTTTTCAAGAGCATTATGCATTCTTTATATTTTTAGCCTTGATTCATCGCTCCCCCTCTGCCATCGCGACGGCTTTGGCTACAAACACCATTAATTTTGTTAAGAATACTGAATCCCATTCATGTTTACTTCAATAACGATTAGATTTTTGTTCTTCCTACTTTCAAATGACTGAATAGATCAACTTAATTTTATCGTGATTCGAATTACACTATAAGTTACATTTCTATTACTGGATCCAATGGGCAGCGACGGTGAACTTTTTTATTTAAGTCGTTAATTATTAATTGGATTATATATTTATTTTATGTGAGCACACTTTGATCTAGATCGAGATAAGGATACTTAGGGTAAAGGCAGAGATTTTGTTGCATTACCAAGTCCAGAAAGCCATCAGGCTTTTTATTGTAAATATGTAAGTTTTACTATTGTATTATTCTTTGAACTAATTTATTGAAATTTACAACTGTACAAGTACATCAAGTGAAACAGTATTGAATCCAATACCATTCACGAGTTTTAGTCGTACAGGTTTTTACGATCACATATCATTTCATATCAATTTATTATCAAGATACTCAAACTATAATAACTTTTTTTTTCAGTATTTTCAGTACGTGCTTATAACTGGTAGAAAAATGGCTATTATTTGTTACACAACATAAATCACTCACAAGCATAAATTACAGACTTTTAGGATTGCATTAATACTTTTTAACTGATGCTGTAGCATTAATTTTTATAAAATACTTTGCATTACTTTCTTTAATAGTTCTTCTAATAAAATTATTGTGATATTAATCCTTAAATAAATTTGTTTATCCTATACGGAAGTAATTAAGATAAATTTATCTTACCGTCATTCCCTTGTCCGTGAATTCCGCAGCGGTGTTGAAGGGTTGTTTGCTTCCTACCGCAACTGGCTCTGCACTTTTTATCGGTTCAATGAGGAGCAGCTCTCTAGCCAGGTCGTTGAAAGTCTTATTGAAGAAGGAAGACATTATCGTAGGGATGGTTATCGGGTTTCGGATACGATTGATTCCAATGTAGGGCATGTTAAGCTAAAAGCAACAATTTTTTTTTTAATACGCCCCTTCCCACAAATATTTCTATAATTATATAAATAATTTTAAATACGTAGTTATTGAAGTTTTTTTCTTCAGTTCAAGCTTTCATAGGACTGCTTTCATGGTTGTATTGCGTATATATTTTAGGGAATACAGCAAAGCAGTATATAATGTAGTAGATAAGTTTTTGTTAAGTTATAAATTAAATTTTTTTTATTATTGAAATTTACAACTGAATTAAATGATAAGTACAAGTAAATATGAAACAAGTAACATGACATGTGCAATATGAAGAGAAACTATCCATTGGTAGCACTCCAATTATATTTCTATATTAGAAGGTCCCGAGGCCATTTTCTTTTCAGACGCCTCGGAGGGTTATCAGGAATAGAAGAGGATGCAAGGTTAGAAACAAGAGGTTTCGGATGGTTCAGAAGTTTATTATGGAAGGATAGGTATCTGAATTGAGCTAAATTGGAAACATATGGTACATTGAGGTCGATATGGATGATTTTATTTGTGACAAAATAGGGAGCATTGAGGATTTTACGAAGGATTTTGGATTGTAGGGATTGGATAAGAGAGGAATTTGATGGTTTATTATTAGAGCCCCAAAGCTCGATCCTGTAAGTACAAATAGGTCTTATTATATACATATGAGTCTTTTATAAAAACTTGGAAGTTAAGAGCGTTTGTCTAGTAAGTGCTGCAGTAGTCGAAAACGTCGGGCGGTTTCTAGTCGTTTCAGTCTGGTATGGAGGTTCCAAGTGAGTCGTTTGTCCAGATGGAGTCCTAGGTATCGAGTTTGTTCAACAGGGATAAGTGGGCTTTTGTTGTAGGATACTGTAGGACAGAAAGTCATAGAGTTAAAGGTCAAAGATAATTTGATGGGATTCATTGTAATTTATTTTAATCCTCCAGTTTCTGCACTATTTTTCAAGACTTTTGATGTGTGATTAAAGAGTTTGGGATGCAATAGATATTATTAACTGACAGAGTACACGTGTCATCGGCATACGTGGTGATAGGAATAGAAGAGGAAGCAAGGCTAGAAACAAGAGGTTTCGGATGGTTCAGAAGTTTATTATGGAAGGATAGGTATATGGATTGAGCTAAATTGGAAACATATGATACATTAAGGTCGTTATGGATGATTTTATTTGTGACAAAGTAGGGAACATTTTATGTTTTTTAAGAGTTTTTAGATTTTACGAAGGATTTTGGTTTGTAGGGGTTGGATAAGAGAGGAATTTGATGGTTTAGTAGAGCCCCAAAGCTCGATCCCGTAAGTCCAAATAGGCCTTATTATAATAATATATGTTATTGGGTTTATTGGGGTTATTGGGACAGTGTTGGATTGGGTTGGGATGTCAGCTGTATAAACTGTGTAAAGGATAGGACATAGTATTCTACCTTGAGGAACATAAATTAAATTAAAAAAAGAGATATTTTTGTGGCTAAATGAAGGAAGAACAGGAAATGTATGTGTTTTATAATTATAAAATAAGCTATCCTTTTAATTTTGTAAACCCTGAAACAAAATCGAATCTTTAAAAAGAGTGTCCTGTTAGTAGGGGGAAATATCTATGGAAGTGATTGTAGATCTCTAGAGCTAAAAAAAAGTTCACTATGGGCCAATTTTCAGCAGAAAATTAGGTGTTTTTTTTTTAAATAAGTCTTTTTTTTGTTGAATTGAAAGCGAAAACTAAAGAAATATTTAATTTAAGTAATTAAAAATAGCTTCACTGTAAACTGGATAAATTTATTTCAAATGAAAGCAGGGTTTGCCATGGCTAAAAATATTTAATGGGAACTTTTGAGGATTAAAGATGTTTAAAAAAATGAGATTTTTTTTATCCTATCACCTGAAAGTATTCGTGTTTTCAGCAAAACTTTATAATTAACTGTTGCAAAGCTTTTATTTCTTGTTTTTCCATGGCCTGGGATGTATTATAATACACATAATAACCTAAATACACTTTTTATTAATATAAAAAAAAATTATTTTTCAATTTTTTTTAATGGAAAGTGGTTATGCAACTGTGTTTTTCTTCCAGATCTCGGTCATAGGAATTGATAAGTATTTATATACGTATAAGTGACAAACTTAATGTTCCTGATCATAATATTTACGTTTTCACGAAAATCCTTGAAGCAATCAGCAAGTTTCTTTATTTTAAACGTAACTATTAGGAACATCCAGTTTATTACTTAAAAATACAGATGAATTCCAATGACAGATCCGAGAAAAAAAAACAGTGTTTTAATTTTAAATAAGAAAAAGTTTTAGGCAATTTTTTTTTATTATAATACATCCCACATCATTGAAAAACAAGAAATAAAAGCTTTGCAACAATAGTTCATTGCAAGTTTTGCTGAAAACACGGTTACTTTTAGGTGAAAGGATAAAAATATGCCATAATTTTTTTTTTTCACAGCTTGGAGTAAAAATAAAAATCTCGAATTTTTGTCTAGTAAACCTCAGCTTAATTTATATAGACTTAAAGGTTGTTAAACAAGGAAGTTTTTCTGAATGTGGGGTTTCTGTATTAAAGTTGGATGATAATAATAAAAAAAAAAATCCGAATAATTTATGATTTTTTTTTTAACAGAATATAGCTTGGTTTAAGTGCATTCAGGTTATTATGTTTAAGACCATGGACAAACCCAGATCATGGAAAAACAAGAAATAAAAGCTTTGCAACAATCGTTGGCATTTTTGCTGAAGCCATGAATATTTTTAGATGATAGGATAAAAAATCACACAATTTTAGCCACTTAAAAGTTGCCATTAAATGGTTTTAACTATGACAATACCTGCTTTCATTTGCAGTTAATTTTGTCCAGTTTACATTGAAACTATTTTTAATTACTTAAATTAAATATTTATTTAGTTATTGTTTCCTACTCAACTGAAAACACGACTTATCTAAAAAACCACACCTACTTTTCTTCTAAAAATTTATATGAAATTTTGTCCCTCTACTTATGGGACACCCTGTTTTTAAAAAAAATAGAGAACGTGTGGAATGTAACATTACGAGACAATACTATAAATTTGGAAGAACAATTTGAATGAAATCAAAACCATTTTGATGTAGATAAAACTAATTTATCCTAATTACTCACAGGTGTGATGCCATTTTTTACGATACATGGGAGATTGCTGGAGACTGGAGCTGACTTCTTGCTTTCGATTGGAGGCCTTCCAGCAAACTTGTCCGAAATAAACCTCCTCACATTGTACACTACCTGACGACCTCTTCCAGACATGGCATGGGTTTTATGAATTTTGAACATTTTTTTTGTTAATTTTAAAGGTATAAATAATTTAGGTTATTATCTGTGTGATGATTCCATAGGAATGGGATTTGGATAATATGTATGGTATTTAAAAAAAAAACATCTGCTAGGTCAACATGATATTTTATTACTTGATACACAATATTTTTTTAATATTTATATATATCTATATATATAAAAAAAATTAAAATTGTACTTGTTTGACTAGAAGGTAAAATACTACGATTCCTAATGACTAGCAAAATATAGCAAGTATTTGTACACTCATCAGAAACCTATCTGATTCACAATACATACAGTTATATATTATCACTGTTTTAATACAATTTTAACTTTTATGTTTTCGAAACCAATTTTACACACATCTCATTCAATTTTAACAGCTCAATTACTTATACAAAAATGTATGTATATATATTCATAAGGCCTTATTCATAATTATATGAAATAATACTACTGATGATATTTATAAAAGGAAACAGTTTCGATAACGTTTACTGCACTTTTATTTTAGGATTAATATAAAAATTATAATTTTTCATAGAATAATTTGATTAATGAAAATAATACATATATTAATAGTGAAAATTTAAAAATTAGACCAACTTCACGTGTTATCAAAATTTAATAATACCTCCTTGAAGAGTTTTTATTATTGTATACAACTATATCAATAACTAAATGTAGTTATTTTTAGAAGGGAAGAAATTGAAAAAAACTATCAACATAGAGGAGAAAGAGGCATGTTATCAGCAACATTAATTTATCATCCCATATTTTATGAAAAAAATACATCAATCATTTATTATTTCTTAACAGTTATATATCTAACATATGACCACTTACACAACATATCTAACTGCTTTAGGTGCAAATTCGAATAAAAAACATTTGTTGAGATATCTTCGACAATGTTGGTATGTTTTTTTTAATAAGCTTGTTATTTTTCTTATGATTAACTATAAAATACATTTTTCTTATCTTTGATTATACATTTCTGATGAAGTATTTTGTGTTCCTCTTCTACGAACAATATTCAATAACGAACAAGATTATTCTGCTGAAAACACACCACTACTTAACTTTCAAAAAGTTTGTTTTCGTTCTTAGGTTGTTAAATCTATCGTCTATGTAATTTTTTCGCGAAAAAAATATAGTTTTCGATAGTCAAATTTCAATATTGATATAAATAATATAGTACTAATGTATCGATATGTATTTAAAAAAATCAATATGTCTGCTTTTTCTTTCCAACATCTCTAGGCCTCAACACGATCCAACATATTGTACATTCTAATAGAAGGTAACTTTATTGTTTACTATTTAGGCACCCGGGTTGTCTATTTCCTTTACTTTTATCTCTCTGGAATGGACAGACATCTCTCAAGAAATGAAAAAAAAAGTTACCTAGATGATTAAGTTGAGATCGATGTCTCGAAAAATAAGAATGTTATGAAAATATTTACAGGAAATTCTGTTATTAATTGAAAAAAAAAAAAAATCGGCAGGAATATATTTTTTTCAACCTAAGAATTAAAAACAAAATTACATACAATATTCAATAATGTTAAAATAACACATTCCTCTCTCTTCTCTCTTTAAAAAATCATAGTTATGGATAATTTATATCAATATAACGTTGTTTTGAGATCTGAATAACGTACCGTAATTTCTCTATTTGGAAGATAAAATAAATAAATCGATTTATCTTATTAGAATATTCGTTTTATCCCAAAATATAATTATAGATAATATCTATATATATATATATATATATATATATATATATATATTTATATATGTGTGTGTGTGTGTATAAATAGGAAGTATGTGCATAAGATCCTGTCAATTATCGTTTAATTAATAAATAAATAAAATTTACAAAGATTTTGAAACCGAAAATAACATCACACAATAAACTATTATTAAGAACGGTTTAATTTCACAAAATCGATGAAAATTATTTACATTTTAGCAAAAATAAGTAATAATATTATCTATATAATAGAGTCATACTCTATTCAAGCAATCTCTTGGAACAGCCCTGATGAAGGGCAGAACTTCAGGTCGAAACGTCGGCAAATGTTAAATAAATATTATTATTTATTTTTGCCATTTTATTTCTGACTGATCACCCCAACCATCCGTCTCTTCATTATTCACGACCGTCAACCATCAACCGACATTCATTTACATTTTATAAAGGTCGAAATTCATTTTTTTTTTAATTTCAGCCAATTATTTTATAATTGACAGTAATTTTTTCAATTTTTACGCCTAAAGTTATATATTTCATTTATTATTACAGTGCACTCTTCAAATTCGGAATATTTAAAACAAGATTCGGACTCTTGACAACAAAAGTCACTTCAATAATAAATATATTGAAAAAATCTATGATTTGTTTTTACGAATTTGTGTAAATTATATGATTTATTAGCCATTTGCGCTTTTACAATATCAGATGCATAGAGTTACAAAGGTGATTCAGGAGAAAAAATGTTTGAAATCAAAGCATTCGATAACGAGAATTAGTACTGCGATGGAGCTAAAACAAACTATTCTCGGAATAGAGAAAATAAAAAACGCTTTATTTTTTCTGAAAACTAATTTTAATTGTTAATTATTTTCGAATATATATACCTATTCGTACACTGTATTAACTATATAGAGATGAAATAGCTATCCTTTGAAGTAATCAAGAGGGCATTGAGAAACTCACTAAGATAAGAGAGGCAGAGCAGATTGGCCTAGAAATAAATGAAGATAAAACAAAATATATGATAATAGGCTGAAAATACCACCCAAATAACTGGATCTGCTTAGAAGGAAAATCATTCCCGAGAGTAGAAAAATTCAAATACCTCGGTTCCACAATAACCTCAATGAATGACCAACGGACAGAAATAAATCAGCCTATAATTAGCGCAAACAGAGCTTTATTCTCCCTCTCATAGATATTGAAATCCCGAAATTTTTTAAGAAATATCAAATTAAGGGTGTAAAATGCTATGATAAAGTCAGTTCTAATAAATGGCTGTGAGATCTGGACACTAACCAGCATCCTAGAAAAATGTGTTGAATGATTTGAGAGAAAGATCTTCCGCACGATAATCGGAGCAATCTAGGATCAGAGTATTAATACACGGAGAAGAAAGACCGATAAGGAAATGCTTACGGAAACTGGTCAATCGATACACCATGATATGAAGGGACGGAGGTTAAGATGGGTGGGGTATGTAGCTCGTAGAAATCCATCTGGAAGCCTCTACGTAACAATGAATGCCTCCATAGAAGGCAAAAGACCACGGGGAAGGCCAACAAGCAGATAGATAGAATAAAAGAAATAAATAGAAAGATGGATTAGCCTTGTTAAGCCGGCAAAAACTACATGGTCTGTAATGTTAACAGAAAAAAAAATCTTGTCTATTAATTGCATCAATTGTAATATTTTATGCTAAATATTAACTAAGCGAGATAAAATTCAATAAAATTATTTAATATGTTTTAAAATGTCTATTATTAAATTATTAATTTTATTCTGATTGTATTCGTACAGAAACTTCAATTTTCCTCAATATGTTATCATCGAATAATTTACCGCTTCCTGTAACAAAATCTAAAAATAAAATATATATTAAAATAAACTTATAATACATTTCTTTATAAACTTATTAAACTTTTGCAGAATATTGTAAATGATAGATTTTTTTTTGTTCATTTAAGATTACCAACCACGATAATGATAAATATATATACATATATAATGTAGAGATCTTTAGCTGATTAAAACATAAATTTAATCACTAAATTGGTCTTGTCTTGTTGAGTTTGTAGCAATGCGGTTATTGTACATATTATCAAATTATTTAAATACATTATCTTAAATCAATTTTCAATTCTTTTTATTGTGAGCATTGAAATAAGATAAGCTACATTTTTTTTTTTTTTCGGTTGATATAAATTCTCAAAATGCCCTTTAGACATCTTTCTAACTTTTAAACCCTATATAGCTAATATTCAAAATTAAATCTGGTGGAAGCGTTTTGGTCATAATTAATTATTTTCATTGATTTCCAATTAAATAATCATATTAATCCCAAAATCGTTTCTCCTAAAGTTTAAAAACAAATATCACCTTTAGATTAATTAAAATCATAACTTTGGTCGCTCTTAGGCCTTTTGAAATTATGGAGAGCAAGTCTTTAAATTTTGTCAAGCGTTTTATGTTATTTGTCCAAAATTATTGTATATTTTTCAAATATAAATTGTTTTCTTAATTATAAAATATTTTATCATTTAAATCGGCCAGATTAACTTTTTTTTATTTTATTTTACTAAGCTTACTGATCCGAAGATAATTATTTTTTTTTCAAATTATTCAAATAAAGCTCTTCAATATAGGCTTTAGTGTCTAACAAGGCAGTTCGATAATTCGTACAATTTCAAATGATACAGTGATAAAAACCTAATTTTAAGGATATAAAAAGGAATGTTATCGGGTAATATTAAATCGTAATGAAGGACAAATTATTGGCGGAACTTCCTTAGGTAGACTGGTTCGTGGTTGTCCGTGCATTCTCGAAGTTCTTTCTCTATGTTCCTCTTTAGTCCTCCTTCCTTACTCACCAACCAGTAAGTATCCAGCACTCCTTTCCCCTAATGAGGAAATATTAAATTAATGTAATGAAAAAGTGGTTAATTTATGATAAAAATGATAATTTGAACTAAAATGTTTTAATGGTGTAGTCACTAAATAGTGCACTAATGTCCTTAAATTTACTTATAAATGTTTTGGGCTCTTCGACCACCTGTGTAATTTTAGCCCTATGTTTTGTAAAAAAAAAAACTTTAAGAAAATTTAAATAGAATTTGTGACTAGGCAGGAGCTAACAAGTTGATGCTGAATGCTTAGAAGACGAAGGCAATCCTAGTAGGCTCCAATCACCTCCTTAAAACTGTTCCTAATATTCCAATCCTGTTCCTACATGATAATCCCATCAAATTTTATTCCACCATTAGGATCCTAGAAATAACCTTTGATCAAACCATTTTCTTAAAAAACCATGTATCCCATGTCTACCGCCGTACCATTTCCACCTTAAAACGTATAAATTACCTCCTTCTACTTCCATTTGAAGCGCCTCGACTCCTAGTCACGTCCTTGATAGTTCTCCACTTTGACTATTGCTGCTCGGTATATTGGGGGAGTCTCTGGGGATCTCGAGGCGAAACTGAAACGTTTGATGAATTGTTTTTTAAGATTCATCTCCGGGATCCCAAGAGACGCCATTTGTTGAAAGAAGAGTTGAAGTGGCTTTATCCTTCCTACAAACGTAAGTATTTCCTGACATCCTTCATCTTCTAAGTCATCCAATCCCGCCGCCCTTCATACATGTCCGAATTCCTTCAATTCAAATCCTCAATTCATTCCCGCAGTACCAGCTCTACCTCTTCAGACAACACTACCGAAACGCTGCTTTCGACAGATCGTTCATTATCCGGCCCTCCTCCATGTGGAACTCCACCCCTTCTTACTTTTGTCGCTCCAATATCCTCCATACCTTTAAATCACGCCTGTTTAATAATTTTTATCTATTCAGCTCCCATAAAGTTGTAAATAGATATTACTGTAAATATGTATATAAATTATTACATTATCCTTAATTATTTTTACTTACGTTCTTTATATATTTTTTTTATAAATTGATTAAAGTCAGAAAGTGGCTGATAATTTTTTACAATGAATGTTTATTTAATCTGTAATTATTGTTCATGTACCTCTGAAGCTCCTTAGCTCACATTTCTATATTTTAGTACTATTCTAAAGGGACTCGTCCCAGAATAAATTAAGTATTATTATTATTATTATATTACAATTGGATCAGATATTACTTATGCATAAATAACAAAACTACACCTTGCAAATATAATTTACAGTTTAGGAAGTTAAAAGATAGTTAAAGCTAAATATAGTAGTACGATTGAATTGAAGTTATAAAAATTGAAAGCTAGAGATTAAAAGAAGACAAGTTAACAAAGGTAATTAAAACAAAGGCTTATGCTTTCAAGAATAAAATTTAATAATTAACATTAAAAAAGAAAAACTCAACAGGTATATTTACAATTAGAAGAAGAACTTACAAACTTAAAAGGTATATTTACAATTACAAGGAAAATAGTTTAAAGGGGTCATTTAAATTTAAATGTTTAAAATCGCAAAAAAGAAGAGCTAAAGATACGATTAAAGTAAATAGTAAAAATTCAAGAAGTTGCAAATAGTTTTTAATTACAATAACTTTATGAACTGATAAGGGTTCATTAAATAACGCGTTCTAAATAACAATCAACATGCTCTAAATAACATTCTAAAAACGCGTGATTGCATTCTGATCCTCTGTCTCACTGATCCAGCTTCACTCACTCATTTGAATCTCCTCAATGGATAAAACGACAATGGACTCGAGAACTTTTGCTTAGTACGACTATTGTATTCTAGATAGTTCCCGGCTTCTCCATTTTCGAGCAGCCTTGCTTAACTTGGCTATCATTACAATGGATCCGGTTAGAGAATTTATGCTAGAAAAATCAAAACTTGGAAGACATTTGTCCAAGGAAACCAAGGCCTCGCTATTCACTGGTATCCAGCCTTGTAAGATTAAAATAACGTAATTTATCTATTTATTTATTTAATTTTGGTTTTTTAACTTTGTCTTATGTTTCTTTCTATATTCAATAAATTGCGTTGATATATGTGTGCGATTTGATCTTGTATTTATAGGATTCGAATACTTTTTTTTTTTTTTTTCATTAAACATATGTAATGTACAATGCTAATTGTTTAATGTGGTATTGTTAATGAAATGAAATGAAAAATAATTTTATTCTGGGACTGAACTCTCCCTTGAATAATAGTAGAGTTTAAAAAATATGTACATTAATCTGGCATGTATCATACGAATATATACAAAAAATACCTAGGATATTATAAACACACAAAGATACTAAGAAAAATACAAATATATATATAAAAAAAACTACAAAGGAAAATATAAATATCTACAAAAGATACTAACGATAAACACAGATATATACAATAAATACTGGGATATAAAAAAATTAATAAATAAAAATAAAATGATTTCTATCAATTAACTGCTGGTGATCAACGTAATTATATAACCCAGAAATTTTTACAAGCTTGCGGAAGTTTGAATATGTAGTAGGTGGTGGAATAGTTGTTTGAAGGAGTTTAGGGACGTGGTTTGATATATGGAGATGATGGGTAAGGAGTTCCATAAGGAGGTAGGTAGCACGAATGACTAAGGATTTACTGAAGGAAGTGGTTTTATGGGAAGGGATATATAAATCTATAGGTTGAGATCTGGTATTGAGAGAGTGGATAGAGGAGCGTAAAGTAAGGAGTTCTAAGATGTAGGAAGGGTTTTTGGTTCTGAGAACTTGAAAAAGAAAAACACCAAGAAGGAATTGGCGTCGGGAAGTAGGTTATAGCCACTTCAACTCGGTGTACCAATAAGAAATATGAGAACGCTTGGGAACCCCAAAGATGAATCTTATGAAGCAATTCATAATTTTCTTCAGTCTCGCCTCCAGTTCTGTGGACAGCCCACCATACACCAGGCAACCGTAGTCGAAGTAGGAGAAGACAAGGGATGTTACGAGGAATCACGGAATCGAAGAAATTGATTAAGGATAGTTATGGATTTACGGGCAATCTGGGAAATGTGTTTGTTCCAAGAGAGGTTCTGATCAAAGATCACTCCAAGGTTTTTGACTGTCGGAAAGAAATGGATGAGACGGTTATTTAGGAAAAGTAAAGGAGAGAAAGCAAGGGAACTAATGAGGTGCTTGGAGCCGATTTGGATTGCCTTGGTTTTGTCTGCGTTCAGCTTTATTTTATTTTTTTCCCGCCCACTTATGGATACAGTCAATATCCTCTTGTAGTTTTCGGATAGCCTCGGGCGTCTCAGATAGTTGGAACGATAAGTAAATTTGTAGATCGTTTGCATATAAGTTATAATGGGAATGACACATGGAGTCAGGGAGGTCGCTAATATAAATGAAGAACAGAGTTGGAGAGAGTGAGGATATCTGAGGAACATCTCGTGTTAATTGAAGAGGCGAGGAAGGAGATTTGTGAGGAATACAACTGTCTGGGATATCAAAGAGAGGAACCATTTCTGAACGCTATTCGATATGGGTAGGCTTTGGAGTTAATGATATCGTATATGGACTAGTGTTGTGAAAAGGGATAAAAAAAAAATGACATGTTTATAGATGGAATAATGTGGTGTAAAAGCTATGTTCTATAATAAGGCAGCGCTACTTTCAATAAAGTATTTCTCTCTTTTATGGTTGGAAGACATAGACAGGAATATATGATATATGCCACGCGTCTCAATACTCAGAGAAACGTCTATTCTAAGTGATTTTTTTATTTTTTTGGTAATTCAAAAAGTACTATTAAGAATCAATATATAATGAAAGAAAAAATAAAACTCGAACCAGGCCTCAAATGGTTTAGGTATGGCACTGAAATTGGACAAAGTCTATGCATAAATAATCTATTTTCTCTTGGTATTACAAACTTTGTAGATCTTTTGTCGTCTTAACCTGCCTTTACCATCTCTGCCTTAATTTGGTTACTTTTTTCTAGTTATCTACAAGAAGCTCTATAGCATCTTCGTTGATTCGATCTATTCATCTGGTTTTTGACCTTCTATGTGGATTATATCTTAATATTGAGGCATTCATGAAAATGAAGAGATTCATTGAAGGATTGCTCCAAGCTGTATATTCCGTCCATCTTAACCTCCTCGCCTTCACATCGTAACATATTGATTGACTAGCTTCTGTAAGCAGCTCTTTATTGGTCCTTCTCCAACATGTGTTCTTAAGTCCTTCGGTTATCGTGGGGAGGATTTTCTCTCCCAAATCTTTCAATACTTCAAAAACCCTTATTAGGAAACATGATACTAGTATAAATAAATATCGATTTTTACTTTATTGAGAATGCATCTTTAAATATATATAAAAAAGATACCTTAATGTCCACAAATCCTCTATGCTCCGTTTTGAAACCACCTACTTCGTCCAGGGCTTTTTTCATTTCCAAACTTATGTGAATTTTTAATGCTGAAAATAAGCAGAGTTTTAAAGAGATAAATATTAATAAAAATACACCAGAAAAAATTGATTGACTAACGACCAACCAAACGAAATGTGAGCTTTCATTCCTCCATATTCGCAAGAGAATTTCTCTTGAATTGAGAAATGATTTAGCAGAGCGGATTTATTTACCTTCGCCAGTGGACTCCATCCTGGAGGCGGTGTTGACGGTGTCCCCGAAGAGGCAGTACCTGGGCATCTTGGTGCCGACGATGCCGGCCACCACCGGGCCGGTGTGGACCCCGCTCCGGATCTGCAGCCGCTCGGTGGGCCGGTGGGGGATCAGGAAGAGGGTCGACCCCTCCAGCAGGTCCAGGGCCATCGTAGCGATCTCGGAGACGTGCCGCTTACCTTCAACAGCAGTCGGCCGTTAGCAAACCCATTTCATGAAGGATAATATTTCGAAATTATGTGATATAATATGAGAAGGAGTTGATCGGTGGGTGCGGTCAAATAAATACTAAATTATAGAAATAGTATTATTTGCCGACGTTTCGACCCACCTTGCAGGTCTTCATCAGGGCCTGGACAATGTGTTACAACTCTGCCACTGCACAGTGTTTCAACTGCCTCCCGCAATGCCACATCCCATGCCCTGATGAAGACCTACAAGGCGGGTCGAAACGTTGGCATAATAATTTTTTTTTATATGTATTCGCCTCTACCCTAGAGGGTCATTGGCGGTTTTTCTTAATTTTTATATTTTACTATAGTGATTTGATTCCAATAAATATTGAAAGAGAATGACGACATTTTCCTCCTTGTCTCCCAAAATATCTTTCAATGTTGTCGAAAGCTTTAATTTTTGTCTCTTTTTTTATATTGGGGGCCCTCTAATAGTAGATGCTTAACTGTTTGAGGTGTATTGTCACACTTTTCGCAGGTTGGCGCTTCGAGTCCTCTAAGTAGGTATCCGTGTTTGAAGAGACAGTGTCCGATTCGCATCCGGCCCAATATTATTTCTTCTCTTCTGGATTTTCTGAAGCTTGTGGTCCATGTGTTGCACTCGGTTTTTATCTCGGCTAGTTTGGCTCGTTGTGTTTTCCATTGGCCTTCCCAATTTTTTAATAGCTTTTTTCTTGCTTCATGGACCCAATCTTCAACGATGATGTGATTTATTGTTGTTACTCCTGGTACCTCTCCCTTTCTCGCCAAATGAGCAGCTTGGTCTGCTTTTTCATTACCCATTATGCCACTATGGGATGCAACCCAGACAAAGACCACACTTACTGATTTTTTTCTCATCTCCCGCCATACGTTTATTATTTCTCTAATGAGAGAGTTGTCAGGCCATGGGTTACTAATGACAGCCACAACGCTTTTGGAGTCGGTTGCTATGATCTAAATACTAATAATACAAATAATAATAATTAACTAATACTATTTCTATAATTTAGTATTTATTTGAAGTAAACTAAAACCGATCAATTCCTTCTCAGATAATATTTCGAAATTGAGAAAGAAAAAAAATTGCAATCCTGTTTCTAAAATTCAAAATCCAAATTTTACTGTTTGAATTTAACTATGGTTTAAGAAACTAGCATTTAAAAATATAGGATGACTTTGGAAGAACGATTTTTAACTCTTTTAACCTCTAAACATCAAATCTCTCACACAAACGTCGCCTTACCTGACAAACGAAAATGCTGAAAGTGTATTTGAATTCTTATGTTTAGAGGTCAATTAATCTGATCTGACTGTAAATCTGATTGTGACTTGTTTACGATTTGTTGTAAACAAGACCATTGTATAGATACATGTATGAAGTATTGTATATTGGTGAATGGAAATGAGTTTTTAAAAATTATTTGTAGGTGTGGCTCGTTCATCTTAACTCATCCTGTGTATATTTTTAATTTATAAAATTAAGAAATATTTCATTAAAAAAAACTCTCCCAATAAGTAAATATTAACTATTAAATAGTAATTAAAGTTTGAAAAATAATAATAATAATACCACCTAAAACCAACAATTAATTCTTAATTTAACATTTTTAATTTTTTTTTTAATGATGATATTTACAACTGTATTACAAATAATAATACATCCAGGAAATGTGAACAAAAGAATATAATAACATGTAACCACTTGTTGAGAAACTACCCACTGGTAACACTCTAAAAATGTATTCACAAAAGGAGATTTTGATAGCATCTTCTTTCCAGACGCCTCGGAGGGTTGTCAGGAATTGAAGAGGAGGCAAGGTTAAAAACGAAAGAGTTTGGATGGTTCTGAAGTTAGTTATGGAAGGATAGGTATCTGGATTGGGCCTGGTCAGAAACATAAGGAACATTAAGGTCGTTATGGATGATTTTTTTTGTGACAAAGTAAGGAGCAGTGAGGAATTTAACATTTCATCATCAACTATAAAATTAATAATAATTAATGTAATGCAAGTAATTTAACTATAAAATTATGTCGCACTTACCATTCTTGACCGGAAGCCCAGAGGCGACCATATAGGAGTCTCCAATAGTCTCGACTTTGTAGACGTCATACTTTTCAATGAGAGCGTCGAATAATTTGTATACTCTGTTCAAGAATATAACCACCTGGAAGTAGCTAACATTAGCATCACAAGACAATACAGGACTATCTCCCAAGCTGTAATCTCGATTCGTACATAGACCCTAAGGCGTGACATTACTCCCTTAGGGTCCTTACCAATCTATAATTTACTTATTTGCTTTATGGAAATAACCTCAAGTGGGGTGCTAACTGCCGCTATCTGGGTGAACCCAACGATATCGCTAAAATAAACGGTCACTTGCTCGTAATACTCCGCTGGTACCTGCAATAGAATGGACTAGGTTAAATGCAAGTCGGCCGGAAGTTCGATAAATAAACGCATTTTATAATAGACTGTCGGAAAGTTATGGGATCATTTAGTGTAACATGTACCAAGGACAGAAATTGATATCTTTATATATAATACGGTAGTTTTTCGAAGTAACTATTCCTTTTTCCTGCTCTGAGGAGTGATGAATGAGCTATCAAACGAAAGAGTATTAATTGTCGGTTGATGGTTGACTGTCGTGAATAATGAAGAGAAGGATGGTTGGGGTGATTAGTCAGAAATAAAATGGCAAAAATAAATAATAATATTTATTTTAACATTTGCCGACGTTTCGATCTGAAGTTCAGGCCTTCATTAGGGCTCTTCGAAGAGATTGCTTGAATGAAAGGTTATTAAATGGAACAGTGACTAACCACAGAAAAACCTACCCAAAATTTCAGCAACAATTGTTTTGGATGATATGAAACATTATTTGCGAATGACATAAAAAGTATATATATATATATATTTAAATCTACCAAATTCCACACGAGTGGAGACGAGTCTTGGTCTTGTGCACCCAGTCTTGGTCTTGCTCACTCAGTCTAGGTTTTGGTTTTGGTCTTGAGCAAGAGTCTCGCAACACTATTGCAGTTACCTAGTAGCCAATTACTATAGAGATATTACTGAAATTTTTCAGATAGAGGAAACCTAACTAAGCCCGAATGAATAATTGGAAGAGTTAAATGCAAAAGTGTGTTGGTTATACCAATTTTTTACTTATAGTAACTAAAATTGTCGAGTATTAGTAACTATTTTGCTTTAATTTTTATTTATTAAAACAATATTTTTTTACCAGTCTTGTTCTTGGTCTTGCGACAGTCAATCGGTCTTGGTCTTGGAAATTTTCAAGACCAAGACCGATTCGGGCAACACTAGTTTTCTTTCATGGCTGTTATAATTTTTATTATTTCTTGAAGGCATTTTTTTTAACAATTTAAAAAAATCTTATGTTCGAGGCCTTATTTTGAATATGATAATTATCTTTATAGAATCTCTCTCTCTCTCTCTCTCTCTCTCTCTCTCTCTCTATATATATATATATATATATATATATATATATATATATATATATATATATATATATATATATATATTAGGCAAGAGACCACGTCCAAAAACCAGATGGATAGATAGGAGACACCAAGGTACGACTAAGCTTCATGCCGCAACCTGGAAATCAGTAGCCCAAGAAAGGCAGACAGAGATGGAGAAGACTGGTTCAGGAGGCCAAAGATCAACAAGGTCTATTGAGCTAATCCAAAAAAAAATACAAAAACAAAACCAATGTTCTTAATTTAAATCTGTTTTTTTAAAATATATTTTGCATAACGAGTTGTGAACTATAAGATACAGGATAATATACTGAATGCAGGGAAAACTAAATCCATCATTATGTTTGAACAATTTGAGTGATGGCCTTAATTTGTCTTGTCTTTTGTCAACCCCACTTTGATTGCGGTCACATGGTATTTGTGTCTGGGGCTGTCTGATAAACTGTTACTGAGATCAAAGCAGATAGTGAATTTCTTTGTAAGTTTAATCTTTGGGGTCTCCATGCAAACTCATGTCTCCTTCTGTTGTACCAGGCTAAAGTGGTTTTACCTTTCTCTCCTTTATATTCCACTCTGTAAGAAGTAATGAACCTTCTTACATCTTTGAACTTCATATATCGCGTTCTTCTATTCACTTCTTAAACGCTACTTATCAATTTTTCTATATCCTATAGAAGCGTTTCCTTTGCAACCCATTATTATTCATTCTCTCTTTGCCACTCATCTATAAGGCACCACTCTTAGCTTAGCTATATGGCTGCGCGACCAGCTCTCTAGGAAGGGAAATTGAAAGATATGGGATGAAAATTGTCTTTAAGATAAGCGGATCAGAGCAGTAATGCATATTGGTAAAGGACTGTTTACAGAAACCAATCAATGGTATGAAGGCAAGAATATTAAGATGGCATTTGGCTTGGAGACACAAAGGTTTTGTGTCTCCAAGGCATTTAGCTTGAAGCAATGCTTCTGGATTATTAACGGATCCAGGATTTAATTTTGGGAGGAACTTCATGTATATATATATATATATATATATATATATATATATATATATATATATATATATATATATATATGACATTACTTATTACTTATTACTTATTACTTATTACTTTGAAGGAAGTAAGAAACTAACTTCCAATATGAAATGGAGTTTAAGTGATTCTTGAAGTCCTATTAAATGTAATTTGTAACGAACAATAATATTTTTACAGGTATTTTTTTAATATTTCTTTTATAAGATATGGTTATATTTTACCATTTTTTTTGGGGAGGGGGGAGGAGGGTGGGTACCTGTGATCAGGACTGTTGAATGCCACTGTAGTGGAAAAGAGACCACCTTAAAGACCAAAAATCAGATGAATAAACAGAATCAACAAAAATGTTACAAAGCTGCGTGCAACAAAAGTTCAGGCGAAAAAATCTACTAGGAAAAAAACAACATTAAACATATACTTTAAGTAGGGTGCTTCTGTAAAGCTTGTTAATAATAAGATAAGGCTTAATTTAATTTTCACGTATTTTAAGATAATGAAAAACATATGTTAGCTGTTGTCTGTTAAAAACGTTTTGTAAAATCTTTAATTTGTAATAATAAAAGTTATTTGTTATTGAAACTATATCTGAACCACTCGTGTACTGTTGAAGTAGCTAACTTATATACTGTTGAAAGTTAACTTATATATAAATAAATAATTTTTCTTTTTATTCTTATCACGATTTTTTTTTTTTTTTTTAATTTCTTTATTGAGTATTATAACAATCTGTCTGTTGGACATTGGTTATAGTGAGGTAGGATGACATTCACACCATATGTACAAAAAAAATAAAATAAATAGAACAAAATAATAATCAAGAGTATATACAATAGACAATAAAATAAAATAACCTAAAAAATAAGAAAATTAAAACTAAGGAAAAAAAAAAAAATAAATAACATGCATACCTATATACAATCAGGGGAGGGAACTCCAGGAGAACCCTGCGCTACTCTTCCAACCGCGTCACTGGTACTAAAGCCAGCGGAGATTGGTCGAGAGCACTTTAGCCACATACACACATGTCTTGAGTGAAGAATCTGGCCATTGCCAGAACTCCAATTTATATAATCTACAAAAGGTCGCGAGGCCACTGCCGTTTCAACCTTCTTGGAGGATTATAGGGATGGGAGATGCTTGATAGGGATTGTGCAAGAGGATTTGGGTGGTAAGTAAGGTTCTGGTGAAATTTGGAGAATTTTTCTGGGATAAGGTCTAGGACAAATGGGATGTTAAGGTCATGATGTAGGGTTTTGTTGGATACATAGAAAGGAGCATCGACTATTGTTCGAAGGACTTTAGACTGGAAGGATTGGATGCGCTTGATGTTAGAAAATTTTGCTGATCCCCACAGTTCTAGTCCGTAAGTCCAAATAGGTTTCAGTATTGTCTTGTAGATCAGTAGCTTGTTTTCAATGGAAAGTTTAGATTTTCTGCTTAGTAGTCGGTATAGTTGGCCGTATCGTCGGTTGAGTTCTTGTCTTTTGAGTCTAGTATGCGGGTTCCAAGTTAGTCTTCGGTCTAAATGAAAGCCAAGATACCGGACTGTGTCTGAATAAGGAAGCTGGATGGAATTAAAGAGTACTGGTGGACAGGAATTGCGTCGGAGTGTAAAGGTAATATGTTGGCATTTAGATTCATTAACTTTAATGCGCCAGTTATTACACCAGTGCTCAATCAAGGTGAGGTGACTTTGGAGATTTAAGGATGCTATTTCGGGATCAGAGTTGGATGATAAGATTGCGGTGTCGTCAGCGAATGTTGCAAGAAAAGTATCGGGATGAACAGGGATGTCAGCAGTAAAGAGGATGTAAAGCACGGGACCCAAGACGCTGCCTTGGGGAACACCGGCTTTAACGTAGTAGATATTGGAAAATTCTGTTCCACAGCGAACTCGAAAGGAGCGGTCAGAGAGGTAGGATCGGAGGACTAGGTACAAGGACTGAGGTAAATGGATTTTAAGCTTGGAGAGCAGTCCGGAGTGCCATACCCGGTCAAATGCCTGTGCAATGTCCAGAAAGGCACCCGAACAGTATTTCTTGTTTTCTAGGGCTGAGGAAATATGATCAACAACTCGGAGTCCTTGTTGAACAGTAGAATGTTGAGAGCGAAAACCAAACTGATGGGAAGGGATATTTTGGGATTCTATAATGGGTAGGATTCGTTTCAAAAGGATCTTTTCAAAAATTTTTGAAAGGATTGGGAGTAGGCTGATTGGTCTATAGGATGTTGAGCTATTGAGAGGTTTTCCTGGTTTTGGGAAAAGGATAATAGTGGAGTGTTTCCATAACAGAGGGAAGTGGGTGGTGCGTAGGATACAATTGTAGATATATGTAAGGAATATGACTGCTTTGGATGGAAGTTGTTGAAGGATTTGAGGTGTAAAGAGATCATGTCCAGGAGCTTTTCGGAGGATTAGTTTTTTTAATTGAAATTTTACTTCGGAAGGATGAATAGCTTTTGGGGGCAAGGAAAGTGGGATTGGTGATGTAAGGAGTTCTTCTACTGTTACGGTGTGGGCAGGATGGGATTCCGGATGTGAAATAAATGTATTGGATAGGTGAATGGCGAACTCCTCAGCTTTATCTTCGTCAGATGCTGCCCAGGAGCCATCACCTCGTCGGAGAGGATGGGAAATGCGGTGAGGATTTAGGATTTTTGTTGTGGTTTTCCAAAGGGAATTGTCGCGAGAAGAGAGGGAGGATAGGTAGGAGTTGAAGGATTGTGATCTGAAGGTGGCTAATTCCAGTTTTAATTGTTTGCAGTAGTAATTATAGGAGCAGCGGTCGGTAGGATGTCGGGTACGTTGCCATAATAATCTGGCACGGCGTTTGGTGCGGATTAGGTTAAGGAGGTGTTGGGGTAGAATGGTCTTTATAGGAATTCTGGAGGAGTCTTTTGGAAAGGAGGCAGTCCAGGCGGCTTGTTGGATTGTGGTAGTAAAGGAATTTACGGCACTATCAAGGTCATCGGGAGTTTTGAGGGATATGTTGAGATCAATATTATCGGAGATTATTTGGCGGAAAAGGTCCCAGTTTACTGGGCCCCTAATGAATGACGGTGGAGAAGGTTTGGGAACAGGTTCAAGTGAAACATTAAGGATTAGAGGTCTATGGTCAGAGGAAAGTTCATTTAGACGTGTAATGGAACAATTGAGAGGACTTAAGCCGCTGTGGATAAAGAAATCAAGAAGATCAGGATTACGGTTGGGATCTGTGGGCCAGTAGGTAGGAGAGTTGGGGGAAAGGAGGTGAAAACGTTGGGAATTGAGTGCAGACAGCAGGGTTCGGCCACGAGAATTCGTGGTTCTGGAACCCCATTGTTGGTGCTTGGCATTTAGGTCTGCACCCAAGATGAAGTGATGTCCTAAGGAGTCGAGGAGAGAACTGAATTGGGCATTGGATATGGATCGGTTAGGAGGGCAATACGCTGATGCAAGAGTGACCGGAAAGGAGAAGGTTTTTATCACGATAGCGGTGGACTGTAGGAAATCATGTATTGGTAATGGGAGTACGTGATGGGAAAGGGATTGGTGTACAATTACAGCAGTACCGGCATGTGCTTTTCCGTCAGGGTGGTCAGTACGATATGTCAGGTATTGTGGTATATTGAAGTGCTGTTTAGTGGTTAGTCGAGTTTCAGTAATTAGTGCCACATCAATGTTCTTGTCAAGTAGTAAAGTAGATAGTTCGTCTGTATGATTTCTAACACCATTCGCATTCCAAAGGAGAATGGATATGGGTTTAGGGATGTGAGTCATTTAAGGATTTTTCAAAGGAGGGATGAGGTGAGATACGAGATTCGTGAGGAGTGATATGAGTGGAGTAACAAGGGATTTGAAATCGGTGAGGAAAGATGCTAACAAACTTGTGAGATCTGTTGCATTTGAAGGAGGAGGAATATGAGGAATTTGTTGTTGGTGGTTAGGTATATTAGGATGAAGAGGATTTTGAGGTTGGGTTTGAGGTTGTTGTAGTGGCAGGGCTTGACATTTATCGGTTAAAGTCTTACCTCTAAGTAGTTGGGAGAATGATACATCATTGTTTACAATTCTGGAAGGCTCTCTCTCTCTTCTTGTTCTTAGTGCTTCATCTTGAATCCGGTTTTTCTGGTGTCTGGTTTTGAGATTCTTGTAAATTTGGCAGCCTTTGTAGTTGGCCGGGTGTCCCTCCAAGCATAGGGCACATACTGCTGGATCTTGTATAGGTTTGTTGCACTCTACAGATTTGTGCTGTTCACCGCACTTCACGCAACGCGGCAGATGGTGGCAATATGTCTTCGTGTGGCCATAGGTCTGACAATTATGGCACTGCACGATGTCTCTCTTGGGATATGGCTTCTCAACTTTCACCATTGTGTAGTATATTCTTGTGATATCATATATTTTTTCGATACCTGGTGATGGCTCCAAGTCCACGAAAAACAATGGTAGTGGGATCCTATTTCGTAATCCTGGCTGCTCCCTGTCCTCCTTCAAAACGTTTGTTACCTGGCGTACATTGAAACCAAGCGTCGTTAGTTCTTCTTTAATAACTTCAGTGGGGGTTGAGGAATGTAAATGTCTTATCACTACTCGTAAAGCTCTTTCCTGCCTCAGCTGGTAAGTGTGAAAATTCGCATTTGTTTCTGATAAGTACTTCACTATTTTTCGGTAGGCTTCTGCAGAATCTGGTGTTATTTTGGTGTCATTGGTCCTGTTAAGGCATGAATAACTGCCAGAGCAGATTTTATTTAGTTGGGTGCAGAACATCTGGAAATTTTTTATATTTTTCACAAATATCGGAGGAGGCTTTGGTTCTCTGGGTATTGCTGCAGACTCCATTACTTCTCTGTCATTTTGAAGCACTTGGTAGGGGTTTGGAGTAAAGAAAGGTGATTCTTCAATCGTTTCTTGTGCAGACGTACCTGGTTGGGGCTGAGGTTCTGGTTCTGAAGTGTTCATCTTGGTCACTGGAGGTATTTCTCGTAGGCAGCGACGAGTCCTTTGTTTGGCTGGTGAGCTAACTCCGTCTGACCGAGACCTCTTGGGCACCTTACTGGCCATCACTTGCTGATCATACCGCATATCATAAGAGAAAAATAAATAAATAAATAAAAAAAAAAAAAAATTTTTTTTTTTTTTTTTCTTAAAATAACAAAAAAAAAAGATGCCAACAGTAAATATCAACTGCTCTGATATACACTTTAACTGTATCACGTGAATAATCAGAGAGATTCCGCTATAAAATTGGTAAAAACTGAGAGAGGAGTTGAGGAGACAACCTTCTCATCAGCTGATCCACTCATGAGTGGATCACGATTTAAAAGCTTAATTTATATTGCCGTCTTTTTTTGCTGTCTGAAAATAACATAACGGCTTAAATATATTCATGCCCTAATAAGTCATTACTCTGAATATTTTTTTTTTAAAGAATTAATAAACAAAACAAGACTAACATTTTAAATTTCAAATTCAATCTTATATCAATTTTCAGAATACCTTCTGTAGTTCTTATTTCAGAATTGATAAAAAAAAAGTTATATAGTGGTATGCCTCATGGTTCAGAAGCTTCGTCATCTTCTTCATTTTTTTTCTCTATATGTATGTAACTCGTACAAAATTGAAAACATAACTTTCCGACTAGTCCAACCGAGCGATACATAAATTCACACATCATAGATAATTATTAAGCTACCTTTTATGCCTGCTAATAATAATATGAACTTATAGAATATCTAAATGAGGTTTGGTTTATATAATTTTTACATGTTGGGTGTGCTTTAGTGTCTGGGCCACGCTGGGTGGCAGCATCTGGTAGAGGAGTGTGTCGCTTCTGTGCTTTTCCATTTTTAATTCGCTCGCCTTCTCTGCCAGGTGGGAAGCGTACATCTGCAACAACGAGTCATCTATGTAAGGCAACCATTATAGTCATCAAGGATATTATAGTAGAAAGATGACTTAAAGTGAAATCAACAAAGAATTAATAACTAAAATAATTGATTAGTAGCAGTAAACAACTAAAATATGGAGATTGATTTTCTCACATCAACATTCTACAAAAATAAAACTTGAATAGTTCTATCACAGTTCAAGCAAATAACAGTTTTGTTGATTTTTAGATTTTTGGTTTCATATACACATTGGCACTACCGGCATGTTAAAATCGATTGAAATTACTAGGTTAAAGGTAATTTTCCACAAGCCACGGGCGGATCTAGGGGGCGGGGGGTTTCGGGCTGAAGTCCCCTCCCCCCAAAATGGTAAAAAATAACCATGTTTTATGGAAAAAAATATTTTAAAAATATCACTTAAAGTATTATTGTTCGTGTAATTACATTTAAAAGGACTTAAGGAATCACTTAAACATGATTTCATATAGATAGCTAGTTTCTTTCTTTTTTTTCCAAAGTAAATATCGTAATTTTTATGAAAAAAAAAGCTTTCGGGCTGAAGCCCCTCCCCAAGATCAAATCCTGTTCCGCTAGTGCCACAAGCTATGCATTAAAGAAATGACCAGTGCAGAAACTGTGTCTAAGGGACAAGTGATATGCTTGCTTTACTAATGAACAAAAAAGCACCGACATGTCCTATGCTAATTTATTTGGGAGAGCCAATTTTTTTGTTAGATTTTGTTTATTTTCTTGTTAACTATGCATATTACAATAAGCATGACATACACAATTTTTTTAAAAATATTCAAATGGTTTTTCTTATGAGCGATTTTTATTTTTGATCATAGTGTTAAAAATCATATTTTGATCATTATTTTAGAATACAATTTTTACAATTAACAATAATAATAATTCTTTAGTAATACTTTTTTAAATCAGAAATATAATTTGTTTGTGATCTCTAAGACATATTTTGATTCTGGAGTAGTATGTAGAGAATATGTTGTTATAACTGTTAGCAACAGAACATTTTTATTTCCGAAATTCATTAGAAATTTGGCTTACAAAATAAAATATACAAATAGTGAATTTACCGCGTTCGCAATTAAAGCGATTTAAAAAATATAACATTAAAATATGTCTACATTAGAGAGCGGGGTAGGTCAGTGGGTGAGCACCGGCTTCCATAGCTCGAGGTCCCAGGTTTGAATACGGCTAATGACTATTAATTTTTCATCAGCCATGGATCGACTCTGAGGTCGGGAGACCCTCCTGAGGCACACCCAGCCTCAATAAAGTGGTTACTCATAATTAAATAATTAATTAGGGGGAGGGGACTGGCGGCCGAGCGTGTTTTCGGCATAATCACAACCCTGCACAACCGTTGGCCTTGTAACAGTACTTCCTCACAAAATACTGAACCTAAGACCCTTCATGGGTTGTAGTGGTGCAAGTTTTATTTTTTTTATTTATCTTTTTTATTATTTTTTTTATGTGTACCTTAATAACGTATACGTACATATTAATATTTTATTTAATTTGTATGTAGAAGGTAATTTTTATTTTCTGAGCTAAATTTTTTTTATCACAATTTAATCATTATTATTTATGTAAAATCGTATTATCACTCAGTGAATGATCATTATATTTAATCGAATCAATAAACATCAAAAATCGATTTATAATTTCTTATTTATAAATCGTGCATGATTTATTAATTAAAATCAAATATAATAAATAATTAGTATATTCGGGCAAAAAAAAAAAATTATCGAGTGCAAAACCTGGTTACAAAGGAAGTATTATTAGTTTTGATGTATAATTGTTCAGAAATAGTAAACCATTATGTAATAATTTGCAGCATTTTTAAAATCTGATACGCATACCTACTATTTCTGTTTCACAAAATAATTTTTGGATGTTTTTTTTTCCTGTTTTTTATATATACAATTGCTATGTAATCTTTGTTTTGAGTTTTTCTACATTGCTGTGAAAAATCCAGATCCTAGCAGAGAGAGGAATATAATAACACTGGTGATACTCGGTCGATAACAGTCACTCAGCAGTTCCAAATTTCATTTAGGCCCCGTGGTCCTACGGTCAACAGTAAAGTGTGTTTTAGTGCCAGGCTCCGGCCAGCTATAAAACTCTTTTTAATTAGTGTGTTCTCTTCGCAAGGCCTCCTTCATCGCCAATAATGAAATCCCTGATTGGAAACTTTTTTTATTCAATCTTAAAGGCATTGCTCTTTTTACCAATGCTAATTGAATATTCGAGATGTTGGAAGAAGAAGATTTATCCATTAAAAAACTTTTTTTTCTGCTTGTATATAGAAACTTTGATAAAAGTTAGATGAATGAGAGGAAGGAATACAAATATATTCCTCTGAACAAACTTAAAAGACTATTATTATAATACTGGAAGTTTTTTTTATGAATAATTTATAACTTGGCCACTAGTGTATCCAGGATTTCATTTTTTGGAGGTCAGAGGGCTTTATGTATATATATATATATATATATATATATATATATATATATATATATATATATATATATATATATATATATATATATATCTGTTATTACTCTGAAAAAAAAAACCCTGTAATTTATGATTTTTTAGTAGTTCTTGAGGGCCTGTAAAAAAAGAAGAAGAAATAAAAAATAATTACAGGAACTATTTAATGAACCTTACAAATGCTTTTAGGGAGGTATTTATTTCTTGATACGTGAATACATTTAGCAGCTGTATAAGCGTTAAAATTTAAAAAGAATACTTATTGTGATTGTTAAAGTTTTTAGCTCAGATTATTTAAAGAAATAAATATGAACCAATGAAAAAACAATTATTTTCCATTTTGGGAGAGAAGCCTTCAGTCTGAAATCTCCCCTTTCCTCGTGGTTTCAATAGTGAATTCGGCAAAACTTAGTAAGCAATCTTATATTTCTATTCGATTTCTTAACTCTATTGAGATTACTGGTAGAAATAGGAAATGTAGTTCGATTAACAGTAAATATTAGACATAAATTAATTAATTTAACAATTGTGCATTGACGGTTGACTGTAGTGATTAATTGAAGAGAAGTTTGGTTAGGGTCGAAAAAAAAAAGGTAAAAATAAATAAATATATTTATTTTAATTTTTTCCGACGTTTCGGCCCATAGTTTAGTTCTTCGTCTAGGCTAAGAAAAAACAGATAACAATAGATACGAAGAAACTATTAATATTAAAAAATTAAAAAGAAAAGAGATCTGATTCGGTGGTATGTAGTTAGGAGGTTGTTATCTAGTCATTGACCCCGTCTAACTAGATTGATAATTGTGGATTGATTGTTCATTGGGGTGAATAATTGAAGAGAAGATTGGTTGGGATAAAAATTAAAAAAAAAAAAAAAAAATGTAAAAATATATAAGTATATTTATTTTTATTTTTGTCAACGTTTCGGCCCAAATTCCTCTTCAATTAATTTAATAGTATAAATAAATATTTTCATATCAAAGGCATGTGAAATTGATGTTAACTGGTAAAGTGTAGTAGATGCGATACCATTGAGTTGCACTATTAATCACCCAAGTAGCGTTTGAAGGAGCCGTCAGCCTAGGTACAAAGATAAGAGGACAGATCTTCAAAGTCTGGAAAGTACATTCATAATAACAGACTTCTGACTAGTGAGACACCGTCTTCGAAAAAAAAGGGAATGTTGAGAATAAAGACGAAATTGTACAGAGTCGGGGGGAGAGGAAAGTGTATTCTAACATTTTTATAAGGCTTAGAAGATAGGTCTGTAGCAGAAGATCGTAAGAGGCTGAGGTCGATCAAGATGCAGTCTATGGAAGAGGAGAGAAAGAAGATAATCAAGACACAAGCTAAGATCCGAGGGGGAGAAAGAGGTGACGGCCCCCCCCCCACAACTTATCTTGGCATCAATTAAAACTTTTACTGATGTAATAATTTAAAAAAAAAAATGTAAAAAAAAACTCATCGGAAAGTTGGCTTTCTTTCCATATTCTTCAAACAAAAACAGAACATTCCCATCATGAAAAATATAACCTTATCCAGGAAGGGAAAGTTGATATCGGTAAATGATTGGAAACCGGACAAGTTTTAAATAGGATATATTTCTATCATCCCTTTTCAAGTAAATTGTGTAGGCAGGGAAATGTAACAGGTTCACTTATTTCTGAAGCCTTGTCAGTATTCAATCTTATTTTAACTATTCCTCTCTTTATCGGCTTCCGCCATCAGAGATCTTGCAGCCCAGTGTAACATTCTGATTTGGACGACGTGGTATCTCTTAAGTTCAACAAGCGCGAGCATAATTATTTAATATTAGTATTCAATATTAAATAACTTCATTCTGGTGTTTTTCGATAAAGGGTTCTCTTCCGTTCATTTATAATTTTATTTATTTTCCTTTTGTCAAATTTTTGAGCTCCTAGTATATCTTCATGGACAGTTTTTCCATTTTATATAAAGTACATTTTTTTTGTACTATTCATCTCTTTGCCAATTCCCACCAACAAGTAACATTTTTTTCATAATATAAAATTGTTTACAAGATACAAATACATTTTTAGTTTATGATGTAAAAAAATTGTGTATTATGAGAAAATGTTACTTATGGATGGAAGAAGACAAAGAGATTAAATGATGCAAAAACTGTTAGCTTATATAAAATGGAAAAAATTGTTCATGAAGATGGGTTTGGAGTCCAAAACGTTGACAAAAGGAAAATAAAGAAACATTATAAATTAAACGGACTCCTTCATCACAAAAATCCAGGTCTTTATGACCCTTTCACATAAAATAATAAGTGGATAAAATACCTTCATTTTTAAGTCTTTTTTTTTATGAAAAAGAGCAACATTAAGATCTGTTTTATAAGTATAAACCATCATATGCAATATTTATTATATCGATCAGTAAATAGGGCACCATTTAAAAGATTATACAATTGTACTAGGCGGAGAAGAAGTCTTGTGGTATCTAGTCCTA